TCAGCCCTATTGTTACTCTGAGAAATGCACTGCTTAAGACATCCTTTATGAACCTTTAAATATACTTTCAGCAAAGAGACTCTAAACACAAGTTCAAATTATCCTATTAACTACCGTGGAGTAACTAGTTTGTGTTTAATTGCTCTGTGCTCTGTTAAACACCACCGTAAAACACCCTGAGAGGTGAATTAAACCTATCTGGAGGAGAGGAAAGCCTCCAATGTGATTGTATGTTGGTGTGTTTCTGTCCCTCTGGTGTGTGTTATGATACGGTGAGCGGTTTTTTGAGCCAGTTTGTGCCTCTGGGCTCGGAGAAGTGTATTAAAGCCTGTTTGACCTTTGAGTTTGTCTGAACTGAAGGATTTAAACGTTATGGACTGAAGGAGACGGCAAAGACAGTTTGAGAGACAGCGGGAAAGCGATTTATTCTCTGAGGACTTTAACTAAACAGGGCACAAAGTAACATGCTGTAGGCTGCGAATTAATTGAATGGATAGTTCATTCAAATATTACAATTCTCAGCTTTATGTGGTTGGAAATGTGCATGACTTTGTGTTTAAAGCTTAACTCAGTTCAATGAAATTAAAAATGAACATCTAGGCTTCAACAGGTGTAAAATACCACAAATTAGACAGAATAACTAGCTTATATATACTGTACAAACATTATAACTATTGTAAATACCACTCACCGGCCCCTTCATTAGGTACACCTGTTCAACTGCTTGGTAACGCAAACTTATAATCAGCCAATCACATGGCAGCAACTCAATGCATTTAGGCATGTAGACATGGCCAAGATGATCTGCTGCAGTTCAAACTGAGCCTCCACAAACATCAGATCTCAATCCAATAGCGCACCCTTGGTATGTGGTGAAACGGGAGATTAGCATCATGGATGTGCAGCCGACAAATCTGCAGCAACTGTGTGATGCTATCATGTCAATATGGATCAAAATCTCTGAGGAATACTTCCATTACCTTGTTTAATCTATGCCACGATGGATTAAGGCAGTTCTGAAGGCAAAGGGTCCAACCCGATGCTAGTGCTAGTACCTAATAAAATGGCTTAAACATTTATTTAATTATATAATAAACATAGATACTTTATATACATTTATACAATTTTTAAACATATCTTTTATGGTTTAAATTATGTAATTTACAATAACTATATATATATATATATATATATATATATATATATATATATATATATATATATATATATATATTAGGGCTGTAAAATTATTTTAAAATTTTGATATTTTTATGTTAGCATTTAAGTGCCATTTGAATTTCCAAACAATCCATGCCAATAACAAACACAAATGATTTCCATGTTGGATTCTAAGAGGGCTACACACACACACACACAACGTGCGCAGTACAGTGCACCCGGTGAGCGCGGGATCCCTTCAGATTCATCAACACGCACAATCGCGTTCATCAAATTTGCTTAAACTAAGCGTTCTAAAGTATGGCTGTGTTTTACAAGCAAGGATTTTGACACGGCAACATGAAGACGACGCTTTTCAAAAGTTGCGTGTAGGGGGGAAATGACGCAGCTTAAAGGCAGAGGAATGGGCTCTTTGACAGCTTGCGACTTCATCTGGCACTTTCATTTACATGGACACCAATACTCCGCTTTTATGATTAAGACAATGCCAATTAAGAGTCGACCATGTAAGCAGCGATTTTTGATTAACTTAAAGGATCACGCGAGTCCCGAAATGCGGAGATTTTTCTTTCTGTTCGCCATGCGGTATCAAATTCCATTAAAACATCCTGAATGAAAATATGCTGAACGAGAATGAACTGCTGAACTGCAGTTAAAGTCTAAATATTAAAAATGAAACACCTGAAACTGCATGAAACTCACAGGATAGTCTGGTGATGCGACATTAATTGTTTTATACTGAAACTTTCCTTCTAAAAACGCGTCCTTGGTCTTATCCAAATTTCTTTGCATGTTAAACACACGCATGGCCAGAGCAAGCTGAACTGGTGCTCTAGGCAAACTTCAAACACACCGCCCTCAACGCGAAAGTGAAAAAGAAAGTGACCGGTTCGCAGATGAAAATGAGGACCGTGAGGCGGGGGTCGGGTGTAATGGATGAAAGTGAGGACCGGGGGGTTTGCTCACTATTCTGCTGCCCAAGGCGGCGGCCTAGGTCGCCTCTATGGACACACGTCGGCCACAACAGGAAATAAAAAAAAACTGCAACTGCATTATTTGCGTTATTTCTTTTTTTAAGTGTTAAATATTTCAAATTACTTGCGTTAACGCTCATTTTGACAGCCCTAATATATATATATATATATATATATATATATATATATATACATATATATATATGTATATATATATATATATATATATATATATATATATATATATATATATATATATATGACTTGCCTAGTAACTTAATTAACCCAGTTAAGTCTTTAAATTATTAATTGAAAAAATTAAGTACGGCAAAGCAGTGGTGCAGTAGGTAGTGCTGCCGCCTCACAGCAAGAAGGTCGCTGGTTCGAGCCTTGGCTCAGTTGGTGTTTCTGTGTGGAGTTTGCATGTTCTCCCTGCGTTCGCGTGGGTTTCCTCCGGGTGCTCCGGTTTCCCCTACAGTCCAAAGACATGCGGTACAGGTGAATTGGGTAGGCTACATTGTCCGTAGTGTATGAGTGTGTGTGTGAATGTGCGTAAAAACTTGCTGGATAAGTTGGCGGTTCATTCCGCTGTGGCAACCCCGGATTAATAAAAGGGACTAAGCCGACAAGAGAATGAATGAATGAAAAATGATGTACTATCATCATGTCCCCATTTATATGTATCTATAAAATGTTGTACCATTAAAGTTTGAAGGCAGAGAAAATGCACAGAAAGCAATCCTCATTACAACATAAGCCGGCAATAAGTGACTAAACAAGCGCTGGTGTCTAGATGTTTACTTTAGTTTCAATGCTGTGGGCTGCAATTTAGTTAAGAGTCAGGGCCTGTGTGCTTGTGTGTGTTTGTGTGTGTGTGTGTGTGTGTGTGTGTGTGGTAAATCTTGTTAAAAATACTGCTCCTGCTGGTGGCAGCACAGTCTAAATCATGATCACGGCATAAAGGTTGAGCTTAATCGAAATTCTGTTCAGGTCAGGAAGTGTGTTTCTCCCTCTTTCTCGGTGCGTGTGCGCGTGTATGTGTGTGAAAAAGCATGAATTATAGAACAAGGCGGCTCTCTAATTCAATGTTATGAGTTTCTGAGCGCCTAATTTACAAGTGTGTGCTGCTCATGAGCATGTGCAAGGTGTGTATGTGCGTGTTTGTGTGTGTGTGCAATCTGTTTCTTGTCACCAAGCAAGGTGTTCTACACTGCCTGAATATAAAAGTATATTTAAAGCTGGCTGGGCTAGATGCTGATAAGGAGGGGGTTTATGTTTGCCCTTTTTGAAAGACGCAATCCACCTAAACTACTGCTTTCGGAAATGTCACTGTAATATGTTCCGTTCGTGAAGTGATGCGCTTTCTCATCGCAAATCCGCACCGCCATCATTTGCATGCAGTTGCATCACAGCTTTGATAAAAGCCTTATAAAACCAGTGTGCTTTTGCTCTCCAGCAATAAGCAACTCTACGTTCTCTTCTTGCAGAATCCAGCTTGTCGCCCTGGAGCGAATAATCCATTATCAGGCGAGGATGAATGAGGTGTAATTACTGTGGACTTTTGACTTGCTGTAATGGTGTTGTTCTACATTATGCTTACATGCAGAACAGGGCTTCAGAATAGCATGCAGGCTATGTTTAGATTGAAATAACTCAAGCATGTAGAGCTCCGTTACAAGGGAAAGAGGAAACCCACATTTGTATGTAGTTTTATTTTTTATGGACATCATTTTTTTTTTGATGCATTGCCGAGGAACACAAAAAGTGCTCTCGTCTGCTAAAAGTGCTTGTTCAAGGAAATTTTTATGGCTGTTGTGTTAAATTGACCAAACAAACCCTACTGAAAAAAACTTATTTTGATTTTAGCTGGTCAACCAGGCTGGTTTTAGAAAGGTTTTGGCCATGGCTTGAAACCAGCCTGGTCTTAGCTGGTCGGGCTGAAAAATCACCAGCCTAAACCGGCTACAACCAGCTTGACCAGCCTAGTTTAAGCTGGACATAGCTGGTTTTAGCTGGGCTCCCAGCCTGAACAGCTAAGACCAGGCTGGAAATGGCTGGAAACCAGCCTGGAATGGCCAAAACCCCTCTAAAACCACCGTGGTTTACCAGCTAAAACCAGCCAACCCATCTAGGGTGGTTTAAGCTGTTTATCTGCAGAGAAGTGTTTTTGAAAACTGTTTTTTTTTTTTAACATCCAACAGAATTCAAGTGTCCCAAAACCACACTTACTGTCACCATATGGACAAAACCTAATAAAAACTATAGAATTTTTAGAAACAGTCAAAGTTGACCAAAGTGTTGTACATAGAAGTAGAAAAAGAGAGTAGGAAAGTTCAATTAAAAGGGAGAAAGCAGGAAAGACCATTAGATTAAATCAATAAAAGAAATAATAGGCCCAGTAATCAAGCAGTATTAAAAGAAAGAGAAACCAAATAGGTTTTTAAGATGAACTAAAACAGGGGGCCAGTCTAATATAAAACAGTAGACCATTCCAGAGTTTAGAAAAAGCAATTGCAAAGCAGGATCACCTCATTTTTTATAGCAAGTTCTAGGCACGGTGAGTAAACGGCTAGATTATAGTGTTTGAAAGGGTGTGTATTGAAGGAGCATGCCTGTAAGGTACTTTGGGGCAAGATTATTGACATTTTTGAATACAAATCGAACTAAACAAAACAGGCTTGAATTGAGATAAAGGTAAGTGAGTAATATCGTTTTCAGTGTTGCAAAAGCAAATGTATCTTGTGTAAAGGTTTTTACAACATTTTTACTGGGGAGGTAGACAAACTCTTAATTTTCTGCAGTATAGAAAGACATGCACACTTTGTTGACAGTTAAAAAAGTTCTTACCTGTGATATGATAAGTGACTTGTCGGTTCCCAGGAGAGCTGTCATTGTCCCGTGTGTTCAGCACTGCCACCACTTCACCGGGTGCATCACTCTCTCGCACGCTACCATAATAACGGGGTTGGAGAAATTGAGGTATGTTGTCATTGGAGTCACTCACTGCTATAGTTATAGTTGTTGAGGATGACTGGCTAGCGGGATCTCCAAGGTCAAATGCCCAGACTGTAAGACTGTGGGCAGGGTTCTGTTCATGGTCAAGCCCTTTTAGTGTTGATATCCAACCAGAGCTGCTGTCAATCGTAAAGTAAGCTCCATGCTCTTCAATGTCCTCTCCGCCAGAGCCACCAAGCAACCCAGGGGGTGCAAGACTGTATGTTACTTGTCCATTAGCGGCCCAATCAGGATCCAAGGCTCGCACTTGTAGAATCCTAGTCCCAGGTGAAAGACCCTCTGTGACTGATGTTTCATAAGTATCCGACTCAAAAGCAGGTTTGTTGTCATTGACATCTTGCACTTTTACCTCCACATCCACAGCTGAAACAGCATCCAATCGCCCCTGCTGCAACATTGCAACCACTTTGAAATGATAGATCTGTGTCAGCTCTCGGTCTAGTGCTTTGTCTAGTTTGATCATTCCGCTTTCTTTGTCAACCAAAAACACTCCCTCACTGTTACTCTCTGGAGTTTGTCCAATCACTGCTGCAAAGCTTACTGGTAACGAAGAGTGGCTAGTCGAGGTGTGTAGATGCACAGCTCCCAGCAAGGAACCTATTGGCATGTCCTCTGGGACTGTAAAGGAGAATTGTGGTTGGCTGAAGGAGGGAATGTGAGCATCTGCGGACAAAACATGTATGTATACTGAGACAAGGGAATGTCTGATAGGTGCACCCCCATCAGAGGCTTTAACTAAAAAAGACAGTACAGAGCCACGCAAAGGGGCAAAGTTGCCTTTGGTGACAACCCATCCACTGTCTGGGTCAATATCCAGAAGTTCAGTGACCTGCAAACTGGCCTCACTATACAGACTGTAGCTGACTTGTCCATTGGCATCCTGATCTAAATCCCAAGCTTGCACTTGAATCACAAGGGTCCCTGGTTCAACCTCAGACCGCACACTTGCATGGTACTCCGAGGCACCAAAGAGTGGAACATTGTCATTCTCATCTATAACAGTAACCCTGACACTGCAGTATCCAGATCGACCACCTGCATCCACGGCCGCAACAGACAGCACCATCTCACTTCGCTCTTCCCGGTCCAGTCTTTCAAGAGTTGTGATTTGCCCACTGCTATCAATGGTAAACAGGTCCCGAGCAGCATCTGAGAGCAGCACATATCTCACATCTCCAAATGGTCCAGGATCTGCATCTTGTGCTCTGATCGCAATGACTTTTGATCCCGGTGGTGCGTTCTCACGTACATCAGCCTCATACATGCCCTGGGTGAACTGGGGGGAATGCAGATTAGCTCGCTCTACTCGAACATGCACTTGCGCTGTACTGGTAAACACTCCATCAGAAACACTTACATTCAGGGTAATGGCGGAAGGCATGCGCTGCATGCGCCGCTGGCCACTCAGTGTGAGGACACCTGAGGCGGCATCTAATTCAAACAGCATTCTTTCATTTCCAGACACTAGGCCATACTGCAAGCGCTCTGCATCTGAGCGGTCTGCATCAGAAGCCTGGATGCATGTAACAAAGTGCCCTTTGGGTGCCAACTCATTGATCGAGGCTTCATAGAGTAGTTGGTTAAACACTGGAGCATTGTCATTGGTGTCTGTGACATCAACTGTGACCCAAACTTCACTGCTCAGTGGGGGGAATCCATTGTCTGTTGCTTTGACAAGAAAGACATAACGTTGGATAGTCTCATGGTCTAGGGAGCGAGCGGTAAGAATCAAGCCACTGCTGCTGTCAATGTGGAAGTGGTCAGTGCTGTTGGTGCGGTCTGGAATGATTTGATACCGGACAGCTGCATTTTTCTCAGAGTCACTGTCCGTTGCAAGGACCTGTAAAGCTGCAGTACCAATCATGGCAGATTCTGAAATTACAGCTTTGTAAGAGGGCTGCTCAAACACTGGAGGGTTGTCATTAACATCCAATACAGTAACCTCAACATCTACTTCTGCGCGAGCACCTGTGAGGCAGTCAGTTGCTCTAACAATGAGTCTGTGGGCAGGGCTGGTCTCATAGTCGAGGCCAGCTATTACACTAATGACCCCTGTGTCAAATCCAATAGAGAAGAGGGTTCCAGGGTCACCATGTGTTATTGTGTAAAGGACACTCTGGCCTTCAGGGCTGCTGGCATTTATTCCCAAAATTGGAGTCCAAACTGGTATGTCCTCACTCACTTTAACTGAGTAGAATGGCCTGTCAAATACAGGCATTGCTCTGTTTACCACTGTAACAGGGAAGGTGACTGAAGAGGACAGAGGAGGTGTTCCCATGTCCCGGGCAAACACAAGGACCTGGTATTCTACACTGGAGAGATCAGCCTCGAAAGCTCTTCGCAAGCGAAGCTCACCACTCACACGGTCTACCTCGAAATGTCCAAGTTCATCCTGAAGAAAGTAATTGACCTCTCCATTTAGTCCTTTGTCCCGGTCTACTGCTGTCACCCGAAATATTGCTGTCCCCGGCTCTGCTTCCACTTGCACGGCAGCATAGTATGGCAGTCCAACAAAAACAGGAGCATTGTCATTGACATCAGTGACTTGAACTCGAACCAGTGCCCTTGCAACCCGAAGACGATCTTCCTCCCGGCCCGCTTGTACCAACAGTCCATATTCTTCCTTTTCCTCCCTGTCCAATGGGACTCCTACAGTTTCAATGGCACCTGATGTTGGCTTAATGCGAAATTTCCCACCTGCATTGAGCAAAGTATAACGCAGGGGCTCATTCAACTTGTTGCCTAATGCTGTCACTACAGCAACTGTTGTTATGTTGCCATTGTTCTCCTCAATGTTTGCATTATAGGCACTGTGAGTAAAAGCCAGCCCACTGTCCAGGGCCTCATGAACCAAGACAGTCACCAAAGCAGTGCTTGAAAAGCGTCCATCTGAAACACGGACATTAAAGCGGAATCGTTCTTTGCTAAATGTACTGTTTCTCACAGTCAACAGTCCAGTGCTTGGTTCAATGCTGAAATGTTCTAGGCTGCCATCTGTCAGAGAGTAGGTGAGCTCTGATTGGCCATTACCATCAGGATCAGTAGCAAAAACTTGTAGGGCTTCTACACCTTCATAGGTTGGCAGCAAAAGAACAGCTTCATAAGAATCCTGGGAAAACTTTGGCGAGCAGTCGTTAACATCTTGCACCTCAATGGTTACCTCAGCAGGTCGCTCAGCTGAAAGCTGCGGATGTCCACTGTCTCTGACATTAACATGGAAACGAAAAGTAGGTGTGGTTTCATGGTCAAGCTGAGCAATTGTCCTTATTGATCCAGTCCCAGCATCTACTGCAAAGAAGCGTCTGGCAGATTCTTCCATGATCTGGTATACTAACAGGGCATTGTGGTTGCGATCAGCATCACTTGCTCTTATGACCAGTGGTTGTCCATCATCACTCTGCACAACACTGTTAAGCCCAGCACCCTCACTGATACTTCCACGGTAGTGTAGCTGTTGGAACACAGGTGCATTGTCATTTTGGTCCAGAACTACAACTGTTATTGTAGCATTTGATGCCTGTCCAGCCATGTTGCTTGCAGTGACTATTAGAACGTAGGACGAAACGGTCTCAAAGTCCAGTGATTTCTGTGTAGTGATCACTCCACTATACTGATTGATGCGGAAAGTGCGATGACCATTGCCATGGCGAATGTCATAGGTAAGGGTGGAAAGACTTAAAGCATTCACTGTAACGACTGAAGTTCCTATGGCAACACTTTCTGATATCTCCGCCTGATATTCATTTTGGGGAAATTTGGGACCGGCATTATTGGATAAGGTCACTGCGATTCGGACGACAGCCGTTGAAGATAGTGCTGGAGAACCATTATCCGTTGCTTTCACAGACAAGACGTAATGACCTATGCTGGACAAGTCCAGTTCCCGTGCCAATGAGATAATGCCCAAAACAGGATCAATCCGAAAAGTGTTTCCTGTGTTCCCTAAGATGAAAGAGAAAAAAAGTTTAAAAATAAAACCAGAGTGTCCAAACTTTGGCAGTGTATGTGAGCACGGACATACCTGAGTCAATGCTGTAACTGATCTGTGCATTCTGGCCCTTATCCTTATCAAGTGCAGTGACCGTGAGGACAGCTGATCCCAGTGCCGCAGATTCATACACCTGTCCATCATACATTACCATGGTGAAAAGAGGAGCATGATCATTGACATCCTCAACACCAATTAAGACACGAGCCAGGCTTCGTCTGTATGGGAACTCTTGATCCTTAACCTAATATGGAAAGAAAGTGAAGAAGAAAGCTATTAATTCCCTATCTGAGACAGACAGCAATACCCAATCCTAGCCAGCACACACTCATACACACAAAACAAATTCGCTCACTGCCAGACGGACTGGATAACATCTCTCTCCGGATTATAATAACAAATTTCATCTGTTTGCAGGCAGCAGGAATATCCATGTGCTTATTAGATATGACACTCACTGTCTCTTACCCTCGTCAGGGGAGTGTGGAAACAAGGAGTGATACAGATCAGATCAATAATTAGATCACAGTGGAGAAGCGACACAGATGCAGACGACATTAAACTAGTGACGGCTGCCAAAGCACAAGGAGCAATCTCCTGTTCCTGTCATACCTGCACTCAAGCATGGAGATCATTGAAAGAGAGAGAGAGAGAGAGAGAGAGAGAGAGAGAGAGAGAGAGAGAGAGAGAGAGAGAGAGGGGAGGTAAATCTGTGGGTTCTAGCACTAATCAGATGGTAGCTCTTTTGTTTTATCTCGTCAAACGTAGTTTCCATACATAAAATAAAACCATTTTACTATAAATCAAGAGTAGTAGCTCATTGCTAGTAAGTTACTAGGGTGTTTGGAGGGTAATCTATTACCACATAGTTGGTTTAATTAAGGCTAAGAGATTAAAATGTTTGGTATAGCTTTTAGCATTTTGCTACTGTGTTTTGGAAGGATCTGTGTTAGCATGTTTGCTTTTTGTAGCTGTTTTGTGGAGAATGCAAGCAAACTATCAAATAGTTGTTAGGTTATTGCTAAGTGTAAATATTCTATATAGCTGTTAGCATTTTGCTATTGTGTTTTGAAAAATATTCCTGGGTTGCTCATGTTCAGTATCTTTGTTAGCATGTTGCTATGTGTTTGCTTTTCTTAGCTGTTTTTGGGAGGCTGCAATCATATTATCAGATAGTTGTTTGTTATTGTTGGACATTTCTGTTAATTTGTTTCTGTTTGTTTTGATTGCTGCTAGGACAGACCCAAGGTTGCTTTTGTAGTGTTTTTATCTATTTTGGGAGGTTACACAAGCATATGATCAGATAGTTGTTCAGTTATTGCTAATGTACAGTATAATATGTGCTGAATAGTTGTTAGCATGGTGCTTTGGATTCTGGATGACTTTTGTTTAGCTGAGCTGTTCAGAAAAGTTAGCATGTTGCTGGGTGTATTGGAAGCTACTATATGCTCTGTTAGCCTGTTTGTTTTGATTGCAGCTAGGATGTTTTAGCTGTTTTTGGGAGGTTGAAAGCTTATTATGAATAGTTGTTTGATTATCGGTAATGTGTAAAGAAATGTGCTGAATAGTTCTTAGCATGTTGCTTTGGAGATCTGGATGACTGTTGTTTAGGTGTTCAGAAAAGTTGATAGGTAGTTGCTAGGTTTTTTGGAAGCTAAATATGTTCTGTTAGCATGTTGCTATTTGCTTTGATGGCTACTAGGATAGGCCCGAGGAAGCTTTTGTATTGTTTTTAGCTGTTTTTAGAAGGTTGAAATCACAAAATCAGATAGTTGTTTGGTTATTGCTACTGTGTAAATATATGTGCTAAAGAGTTGCTAGCACTGCTAGGTAGTTTCTGGGTGTTTTCGGAAGCTAACATATGTTCTTTTAACATGTTGCTATTTGCTTTGATAGCTACTAGGATAAAGCCTGCTTTTTGTAGTGTTTTTGGGAGGTTGCAACAAATTACCATACAGTTGTTTGGTTATTACTAAGATGTGAAGATGTTCTGAATAGCTTAGCATCTTGCCATGTAATTCCCCTACTGAAAAAAACAGCGCCTAGGCTGGTTGGCTGGTTTTAGCCACTTGACCAGCCTGGTTTTAGAGGGGTTTTGGCCATTTCCAAGCTGGTTTCCAGCCATTTCCAGCCTGGCTAGTCAGGCTGGAAAATGACCAGCTAAATCTGGCTAAAACCAGCTTGACCAGCCTGGTTTAAGCTGGACAAAGCTGGTTTTGGCTGGGCTCCCAGCCTGGCTAGGCTGGTCAAGCTGGTTTTAGCCGGTCATCTTCCAGCCTGACCAGACATTAATGTCACCATAACGCATATGTGGTATTTCCATATAATCTCTGCGCTCTGTCTGATCTGTCTTGATGTGAATTACCATGATGGTGAGGATGTGCTGCGTGCGGCTCTCGTGGTCGAGTCTGCGGGCTGTATAAATGACTCCACTGTTAGGGTCGATGCGGAAAAGCCTCATGCTGCTGGGGTCGACGCTGCTTTGGAGGCTGAAGGTCAGGCGGTGGCGCTCGTCTCTGTCCGATGCTAACACCTGAACCACCTCAGTGTCCGGGGGTGTGTCCTCTGTGATCGTGATGTCATAGGTGGGCTGGGAGAAAACCGGAGGGTTGTCGTTGTTGTCTAGGACAGTGATGTGAACCTGTGAAGAAACAGTCAAAATGAAATCACTGATTCAACATAAGACTTTCTCAGAAGTGCTGTTATAGGAAAAATGAAACGGCATCATACCGCCCTGTAGTGTTTATTATAATGCCATGTGTACATCTGGCTATATAATTCGCAACCTCCAGAAATGTATATTGGGATATGTTTTCAGAATGAGCCTATGTTGAAAATAATAGCAAAATCTATATCTCTATGCTTTTTGGACAGAATCGTGTCCAATCATTCAGACTAAATTACATGCATGTTAAAGGTACATTTTAGTACCTAAAAATTGTAAAAGATACACTTTGTACATTTTAGGTACTAATATGTACCTTTGCAAAGGTACTGCCCCAGTTACAGCTTATGTCCCTTTATTTCTGATAGTGCAAGTAACAGGCACCCTTATATTGACTGACATATTTGTGACTGTTCTTCATTTCAGGAGTTTTATTTACTACACAGCTCTAAGTGGTTGAAGTTCTCTGATCGATGCTGATAAAATAAAACAAGAAAATCACAAACAAGGACCATGAAAGCATGAACAAATTGCAGTGGAAGGCAGTGTCAGCATTCACACATGCATGTCGTCTGATCTAATTATAAAGTAATAACAGACGTGCACTTCCGTCTCACACTCGCCCTCATGGAAACACGCTGAGCTCCATCTGTGTGTGTGTGTGTGTGTGTGTGTGTTATACACGGTGAATGAATGTATATTTGAGTTTGAAAGTGAGAGAGAGAAACGGTGCTTTCTAAATAAAGAACAAGTCTTAGAGAGAGAAACACTGTCGCTTTCATCATCAGCTTTCCATTTGTCCTTTCTCTGACCCTTCCTTAGGCAATCCTTCTTTCTTCACACGTGTGTATGATTTTTATCATTAAATACGTGAATCTGCATTGAACAGATTGTGTGTGTACTGAATTTTGGGTGTGTAATACATAAATTTGTATAATGGCATGGGTATGTCCTAGGTATTACAACATTAAGGGGGGTTTTAAGGACATGTCTTCATAAGGCAAAACTCCTTAAATCAAACTTAAAAGGGTCTTTTCACCAACAAAATTGCCACAGGGTTTACTGTGAGGGTTGGGTTTAGGGGTAGGGTTATGGTGCGTTCACATCAGACGCGACATGTGCAAATATATATATTTTTTAAAACAAAAATAAATAAAATATAATATAATAAAATAAAAATAAATCACACTATTTTTGCGTAAATAGATATCAAATCTTTTTTTCAACAATTTTTTTGACAAAATTTGACTTCATTCACGCGTCAAATTTGCTTCATTCACGTGTCAAATTCACTTCCAATAGACATGGATATGTGTCATGGGCAATGCATCTGTCTGCCCGGTGACTGTAGGTTTGTTTCTAAATGGTTAACCATGTGGTGCCATGTCTGGGTGCACTAGATCTTTTCAGTTGTGCACCGAGCTCTATGAGTTCATCAACACCTCCAGAAACTATACCTGGATGACGGAGGGTTTCAGCAATGCTTCAGACTGAGCCAAGCCTAGTTTGATAAGTTGTTTTCTGGTGTCAGCAAGAGGATTTCCTCTTGGGACACTAACAACAGGTGCTACATCATAATCACCCCCATACTATAGAAAGCTCCTGATTGGTTATCGTGGCACGAATGTCCGCAAAAGTTCAGATTTTTACATTTGCGTCTTTGCATTGACTTAACATGTAAATTACTCTCGCTTGTTGCTTCATCCACATTTGGTGTGAATGCGTCATTAGGCCCTATAATACGCATTTTTTACAATTAAAAATACATTATGCCTACAAAGAGTACTCATAAAACACCAAAACCAAAATGTGTGTGTGTGTGTTACATGTCCATGTCCATGTAAGTTGGGTTATTGTCGTTTATTTTGGCTGAATCCCTCTCGATGTTATTTTGCTCTTCATATTTTCTTGTTGATTCTCAATGGTTTGTGTTTTGATTTATATTTTGGGGAGAGAGAGCCCAGGGGCACCAGGGAATATTTTTTTTAATACCTTTTATCTGGTTACATTTTTGTTAAACTTCCTTTTGCTTAAGGATTTTTAATTGAATTCATAACAGCGCAAAATGAAACGGCATCATAATGCTCCGTAGCGTTCGTTTTAAAGCCATATGTACTTCTGGTTACATAATTTGCGACATCTAGAAATGTATATTGGGATACGTTTTCAGCCTATGTTAAAAATAGTAATAAAATCTATATCTCTATGCTTTCAGGACAGAATCATATTCAATCAAATGTGTACCATTAGGCCCTATAATTAGCATTTTTTACAATAAAAAATAAATTACGCCTACAAAGAGTCCTCATAAACCACCAAAACCAAAACGTGTGTGTGTGTGTTAAATGTCCATGTATTTATTTATTTATTTGTTTGTTTGTTTATTTATGTTTGCTATTTTGTCCCTCTCTAGAGTTTTGTTCTTGTTTTTGTTTTGTTTTAAGTTGATTTGAAGTAGATTCCTTTTCACCTGCGGATCATTGACCGCCAGCGTTAAAAGAGCTCATTCTGCAGCCCTTCAGGGGTGGGGACCTAAGCGGTCATCCAGACACAAAGTTGTGGTCTTTTGTGTTTAGCCTTAGTTTGTTGTGATTCCGCCCCATTCTTTGTTATTATTTTGTTTGTTAAGCTTAATAAATTCCCTAGACCGATCCATTTGTGTTTTCCCCTCATTTTTGTTATGACTGTGGCTGTGAGTGTGTTTGTTACATGCTGCTTCATACTGAATTTAAATGGGTTGTCTTTTGGGTTTGCGATGTTGTTCATTGGTCTCAAACTAATACTGGCACTCTTGGTAAATATGAGCAAAGATATTTGTCAAAAAACATGTTTTCATTGTTTAACCTTTTGCTCAAAATATGACCAAAAGCTGAAGATGCTTTAGTTTGTTTCTGAATAAGATTAAAGGCTTTCAAAAGTATTTGTGTTGATGTCTGTCACATCGAGACTTTCTCAACCCTGAGACCCGGCTAACTTCAACAATTCCCCAGCTGGGATTCTTGTGTCTTCCTGACAGTATTTTGAGACAAGATAAACACACGTCTTCTTCCGGGCTGATTAATAGCGCTTGCAGTTGACTGGAATTTATTAATCTTTGGCCTGATGGTTGGAAATGGCCATTTCTGTGTTTATTTTAATCTACATTCTCTTTTTATTCCATCACAGCTTTGTTCTTTGTGCGAAATGATAAATGAGTGAGTTTAGCCTGTGTGTTCCTTCATATTTACAGCCAAGTGAAACAGGAGATCATGTTTACAATTGACCTGTTCCTCGTATTTGCTCGTATAAATTTATTGGGGTGTCAATAAATGTTTGAGCAAAAGATTAAAAGGTTAAAACACCTACTTGTTTAAATCTGACATCACATGCCACAAAATACAGGTATAAATGTTTTATCAGATGGTAAAAGTGAACAATATAGACCAATTACCAACCTACGTCACACATGACGTCACACAGGTTCCCGGTTGCAAAAAAAGACTGGCTGCAAAAGCAAACATGTTGTGTTGTGTGGTAGTAAAAACGTAAAAGTGTAAGTTAATAAGGTAAAGTTGGTTTTATATTTACACATTCACATTCAGTGACAACTTGTGACACACTTCCTATATTGTTTACCACGGCACTTTGAATATTCGGTCTGAAATATCCTGCAAGTGTTACTTGAAAACAACATTAACACTGTTTATTTCTTATGATTTCCCTATTTATAGTTTGCAAATAATACTTTTAAGAAATTATATTATTAAGGAAAGAGTCAGAATACAAAACCAACTTTACCTCTATGTGTAAGTTCACATACCCTGCCGTAAGTTCAGGTGTAGTTCGCACTACATAATGTTAAATCTGATAATTATGGAGCATTATTTCAGGCACATGACCACACAGAACAACATTGTTGCCATCCAACGACTTGTACACTGTAAAAAATGGCCGTGATTTCAACGGTAAAAAACTGTAAAAATGCTACAGTACAAATCCGTAAACTGATTAACAGTATGTCTCCTTAATATATACAGCGAATAACCGTAAATTGAATTTCCCAGAATTCGCTGCATGGCACATAACTTTTTATCCATTTTGTTGACATTAATATGGATCTTTTTAGTTGTTTCCCCATCAGTTATGTACATTAGAGATTTATGTTACATCTAATGTTGATAAACAATGTTTATTTCATGACTTTTATTTTATGCGTGTTACCATACTGGTGTTTAGTAGCTGTGTGAATGACACTGAGCACCTTCTATATGCTGACACTCTTTTCTGCTTGTGGGAAAAGTTGATTGTGATGAGCTTTGGCTCATTATGTAACTTCCTCATCACCAAATGCATGTGGGTGTGCTAACGTGTCTAACTGTGTAATAAAAGATGTGTAGATATTGATCATTCAAAATACAGACATATTACCTCTATAAATTAATAAAATACAGTAGTTTACCTTAAAAATGAGAAATTACTTTTACGGTTTGTACCGTGTTTTTAACGGTAAAGTACTGGCAACCACAGCTGCCGTTTTTTTACCTTAAATTTTACGGATTTATTTTTTACAGTGTAGGCCTTTAACTTCTCTCTTGTAAAATCACTTGGAGCTACAATGAGATTGTATATTTGGGGTTGGATGTTCGGTCATTTCGTCTTATCCAATATCCATTGGAAGGGTGCTATCGCAGATGGACCTGTCAGACGAACGCCGCTCACTTTAACGTTAATTTTGCCGAATCACTGGGTGCCAAGCTGCTATAATACACTGCAAGTATTACGTAAGTAATATCTATAATAAATAATCAATATATCTTATTTCTAAGACAACAACAAACTCTGTACCGCATCGGATGCCATTTCCTCGCTGTACTGTAAATGCTAGTGCTCCTGGTTTTTTTCTGCCACCTCCCTGCGTGCCCATCTTGAATATTTATATACATGGTAATTCGTCTATACGTGACCCTGAACCACAAAACTAGTGTAACACTGTAAGG